GAGATTAGTCATGTAAACATTTGCTTGGCAACTGGTTTCTTCAGGAAGTTAATTTGCAAACCTCCATAGAGAATTTAATTTATTACTTTACCAAACAGCAAACTGTTTTAAGAGAAACCAAAATGATTTCATAAAAAATTTCAAAAGTAAACAAAAATGAATTAAGCAGAGGAAGAGCACACTTGAAAGGATCTAACTTCCAATAAAGAATTATGAAATATTGTATCTTAAATACATGGGCTTCATCTTGCTCCATATGTTCAGAATGCCAAGGCATTGTGCAAATCCAGAAGCTAGATTTGCATATAAAAAGTATATTTGTAGTTCATAAAAGTACCTTTGGATGAAAATTTTGAAATTCAAGATAAAAACCTAGTCTGTAAAAAAAAAAACGTAGACTGGCAAAACACTAATTTACTTTGAGTAAGTATAATACAATTCAAAATGAGGCAGGAGAAAAAGGCTTTAAAAGATATGAAAGTAAATTGTTCTTTGTTTCTTTACAGCCCAAACTCACTGAATATAGTAACAAACAGTCCTAACTGCCACTGAGCTTGCTGACAAAGTGATGTTCAATAAACACCCAGTGATGATACTAAAAATAAGATATTTGGAAAGAAAGTAATATCTTAGAGATGCACACAATTTTGAACCAAATATATTCTTCCATATAATAGAACTTGATATCTGAAGCAGAAAATAATATTGAGCAGATTAACATACTCTGTCCCCAGATGATTTTGTTTCCTCATATACATAGCTAAATCTGTAAAGTGCCCTCTAGAAATGTTTATTTGAATCTATAAATGACTCTTTTATTACTTAGCTACTCAAAGTAATTATGATATGATAATAAGTGATATTTTAAGTTCTTTTTGAAAACAATAATGCATTCTGATAATATTATACAGAATTAAAAACCCGACGCACAGAAACTCTTCTGACATGACTGTCTGTACTTGCTAAAGATCAGTTAGATAGTAGCAGTGAACCACTTGAAGTTCACTGCTAAGTCAAATTTGACTTTGTAGTTTAAAGTCAAATCATCATTATCAAATATGGAATGTGAATACAATGGATTTGATTGTTTTAAATGAACCTATAAGGCACAACAATAATCTAGTCACTTAGAAAGTAATGAAGCATACTGAAATTTCTTCTGTGAAGGTAGATGATACAAAACCCAGAAGCCCTTTGCCTTTGAACAATTCTATCCATTCCAAAGTAAAATACACCCCCATCACTTGGGTTTGGCCATTCCAGTGACAACTATATGTTAGCTTACCCTGCTTCCTTACTCATTTACATTTTATTAGGAGGTCAAGGAACAGCTCACTGTGGAGGTCACATTCAAGTTGACACCTGCATAAGAAGTGTCAGCAATAAGGCCACTTTGGGAGTAGAGACTGGTGGGGAGAAAGAGAGAGAAAGTCAGAGAGCTCAGTAAAGTCCAGACCATGCACAGCTTCAGGCCAGGTGAAGAATGGGAAGCTATTGGCAGATTTTAAGCAGGGGGATGTCATGATCTAATGTTTTCAAGAGACCACTCTAGCAGGAGGAGTGTGGTGGAGTGAGAGTGGGTGTGGGTAGAGCAGTTATATGACCATTTAAGTGATCTTAGCAGACATGATGGCAGCTCTGCAGTGAAGACCAGGAGATGAACATGGGATATATTTTGGAGTTGTATCTGATCGGGCATACTGATGGATTAGAGGGGAGTAGCAGTAAGCAAGGTAAAACTCAAGGCTGCCTTGATGATATTTGCTGAATTGAGGAAAGGCTGTGGGAAGAATATTGCGGATAGGAGAGGAGTAGGGGTGAAGCAAGAGTCCAGTTTTGGGTTATATTAACCTTGGAATGTCTGTGATACATCCAAGTAGACACATCAAGGAGGCCATTGGATCTAAAAACTTTCAGCTTGGTAGAGAGGTCAGTGCTGGATTTATAAATTAAGTAGCCATCGGGTTATTGCTAATGTTTAAAGCTGTAAGACTGGGTCCAGGTTGAGAGTATGACTGAAGTGCACCTAGGACCCAGCCTTTGGACACCTCACCACTGAGAGTTTGGAAAGAGAAAACCAGCCTGCAAAGAAGACTGAAGTGTTCCAGTGTGGAGGAAAACCATAGAAAATGGCATCCCGAAAGTCACAAGCACACAATGTTCAAGAAGATGAGAGCGTTCAACTCGGTCAAATGCTGTGAAGACATCAACGAAGCTGGGAACAGAAACATAACTATTAGATGTGATAAAACTAGAGGTCATGGGTGACCTTAAAGAGGCATTTCAGTAAGTATGGGGGCTGGAAACCTATTTAGAGTCAACTGAGGCAAAAATGAAACGTGAAAATATTAAGACAGCACTTTTGTTTGCTGTCTTGGGTAGAGAAAAATGGGGTAGAACCTGGAAGGGGATAATGTCAAGAAAAATGTTTGAGTAGAAATGAATACCAGTGAGACTGATCCAATGAAAATGGAGAAATTGATGGTGTAGGAGAAAAACAAATTTAACTGCAGGAGGAAGTCTTGGGAGCAGGTAAGAGGGGATAAGAGGAAGCACAGCAGAGGGACCATACTTAGATGACAGTAGGAACTCTCCACCCATCGCATTGGGAGGAAAGTCAGAGCGTGTGAGTTTATACATAAGTAGGTTGGTATATTTTGAGGTACATGATGAGGGGTTATTCTGAAACTAGACACAGAGCATATATGTACTATGGGATATCAAAGCCAGTGTACATCATTTGTATTAATGAGTATACACAAATATATTGATCACCATCTTAAAGACATGAATAAGGCAGTAGAGAGAGGGATTTGAGGATATATCTTAGACATTGTTTTTGCCTGATTTGATTCTTCCATTTCTACCCATTACATTTTCATATACTGAAGATCTATGACTTTCTAGTTAGATAATTTTATAATGCTACCAGACAGGGAGCCAAACTCAAAATCTATCTTCCTTGAGAAGTTCTATCCTATTGTCTTAGTCTTCTCTGATTGTTTCTTGACCTCTAGGCTGCACCTCACAGTACAGTTGGCACTTAATCATTTCATATTTGTCTCCTGCTCATAGGTCTTATTGTCTCAAGTAGATGTTAAGGTTCCAGGATGCGGCCAAGTATTTTACAATAAAATATCATTGTCTCTCCCACTGCGAAAAACCTAGTATTAGATATAAAGTGAGTACTTAATAAATGTTTGTTGATCAATTTATCTTTTAAGGGTTGAATGGCTATAAAGAGTTTTATGCAGTAATTCCTTGGCTAACAGACTACACGTAATTCTTCACGGCACCTGCTGGGCATTGCTGGGAGATGCTGAAATCATTCATCAATTTTCTTCTTTTTATGCTATTCAATTAGTCTGTCTAGGGCAAGGTCTAGAATGTATATCAATCAAAAGCACAATAATGACCTGTGTACAAGCTATCTCCATACTAATGATTTGCATCCACTATCTTACAGAAAGAGCTTTGGTCTAAGAAAGCACTGAAGTGAAGGAAACTTTAAGGAGAATACTGTAGTAAGAACTGAGAATTACCCAGTGTTACTGTTGCAAATAGTTTAATGATGAGTTTGAAATCAATTTGGCAGTACCTTTAGTGGAAAAATAATATTAAGAGAATACTCATCACTATAGCCTATTTTGCATTGTCTTAGATAAAATTTTTCTTCAGCCTGCACTGAAAGCTTAAATGTCAGTAGACTTTTAGTATATGGACTTCTAGTTTGTTGAAATTACGTGTAGCATGTTTAGCTTTTAATTTAATTCCAATTCTTAAGGCAATTAAAACTATTTGGATATAATCTTTAAATCAGAATCCAAATATGGCATACATATATTTTTCTTTTAAGAAGTAGTTGTACTGTCATACAATATTGACCTTTAATTTTATGTAACAGGTTATTACGGAAAGTTAAAGAATTAATCATCAGAATAGCATTTAACCAAAAATCCCACATAGCATATACATGGTAGTCTATAGAGCTCTGCAGAAGTGAGTGATTACAACTACTGTAAAATTTTGTCATTCTATAAAGTAGTCATTGACAGAATAAATGACTTTTTTCCATGTTATATGCAAATTGACAAAGATAATATCTGATAAAATGGAAAACACCAAGAGACGTAGAACTTCAGAATATATGAAACCCACACCAAAATATCATTAGCAACACTCTTTCAGTAGAATCCCATAGCATGAGACAATATTAATAGAGAGAATCTTTTAAGAACATTTGTTGCATAAAATATTTTAATTGAAACAATTAATGAATTCCATAAGATAAGTGTAGATTTATAAGATTTCCATTTTTCAATACTTACATGAAAAGATCTGATAACAGAGCCACTAAGTATAGGTAAGAAATATTAAACCTGTTTAGCTATTATTCTAGGTTTCTATTCATTTCTCACTAACTTACATTGATTTTTGTACTGCTTTTATTCATCCTATAAATTAGACTCCAACTGGTGATAAAATGTCAAAGTTTGCATTGTTCATCTAAAAAAAATAAATCTAGACAATTTAGAATTATTTAAAAATTAACCAATAAACTATGATCCATTTGCTCTCTTTGTGAGCGCTTGGGTGGAAAAGGAGACATATTAGTACATTAGTAAGGTGTTTCTTTTTCTTTAATCACCAGGAGAAAAGATATATAAATCTTTTTCTTAAAGCTTTTTTCTTTCCCACGGAGACAACACATCTTAAAACGAAGGTGAACAGGCAATTAATAGCACAGACTTAACTAAATATTGCAAATGTGATAGTATAATATCTTGGTAAATATGGGAATTTTGAGAGCCATAAAATTAAAGACTTTGATATGTGTGAGATCAATAGACATGACTTATCACTATTTAAAATGAGCTTTAATTTTTAAATGCCATGTTCCAATGAAAAAGTACATTACACAGGAAAATTGAAATTTCAATAAAGAATCAAGACAAAAGAAACAAACTTTATATTAAAGTACCTCTAAAGGTTGTACTTACGCAGCAACCTCCTCTTTTGACAATCCTTTGAAATTCACCTGTAGATAATGATCTATGTCATCTTTTTCTTTGATCAATTGAGACCTAAATGAAATAGAAAGAAATAATAAAGCACCACCTTATCAAGTTGAAAAGCTACCAAACATGTAAAATGCCACTAGGAGAATAGAAATGTTCAGGGTATAATACCATATATAATAAATGCAATAGCTATAGAGTTAGGTCATTGGCTGATCATTTCAAAATTTTATCTTTCCTGAATGGAAAATGATAAGGAAGAATATTAAACCCAGTATGTAAACAAATAAAACACCAACACCTTGAAATAATTCACTTTCTACTTAAGAGTCTTCTCCTCAAAGCTTACAAGATCTTCTATTTTGCTCACATTTTTTCGTGGTGTAACTTTCCAACTGCTGAAGTTATATACTGTTTGGCACAGAATCCAGAGCCCAGAACACCTGTTTGATTCAAATATATAACATGAATTTGTTCCAAACATTACTGAATTTTGTCCTGAAATGCTCTTTGAACAGTTTTTTAAATCACACATAAAACTCAAATTACTAAAGGTTCAAGGTGTGATATGATTTTAAGAAGCCCTTATTGAAAATATATTATACTTGTAGTGCATTCATTCTTCACACCCATTTGCACCTTTAAAAATCAGCATGCTATCAACTTCTCATAACTATGATGATATGGAACTAAACAAATATCAGTGTTTTATTCAGAAGCTATTAAAGAATGCTGATACAAACTTTGCCTTTAGGGGGTATGATAAAAATCTTTTTCTTCAATGAAATGAATACAAGAAAAAGTTTTCTTTAAAACTCATCCTATCCTACGGATATGAGATTTGGCTATGCTTTTGCTCACCTTGAAAACAAAATATAAATTAAATCCTTTAAAAGGCAGAAAGAATAAGCTTTTTCCGACTTCATAAATATTTTACATTATTCAAAAGTAAAACAAAAAATATGTATATATATTATAGTATACACACATGAATTATACATTCATTGAAAGATTTATCTGCTATAGGAAAAGAAAATTTTGATTTACTATTTTAAAAGAATTTTTATGTTAGTTTAGCTGAATGTATTTATTTTGGTCTGGGGGCTTTGGTTTTTCCTAGAAGAAATACTAAAAATGAGGCATGAGAACAAAGAAGACTCCTAATACTTTGATCATTGTACCTTGCAGGAATGGAAAAGTAGGCATATAAAGAAAATAAACCTATGTATGCAAATTATTTATATTGGTAAATAATATGTGTATTATAAAAAGTCAATAGAATTATAAATGGCAATTTCAAAATAGCACAATCAGTTAATATTCATAATTATGACAAAATGCATCAGTTTCTCTGTCCTGCATTTCCTCAGTGACACTTTGAGTAGCTCAGCAGTCACTCATGGGCAGCAGCAGGTTGATGATGCATTTTCAGGCCCCAGCATCATCTCAGGAGCTGATTCATGCCCTCCAATCTACCCTACAAGTAAGGCTCTACCCTCCTTCTTCCTAAACATAAGTCAGCCCTTGGGACCTTATAGATTAAAAGCATTACACCTTTCAGTCCGGGCATGGTGGCTCATCCCTACAATCTCAGCATTTTGGGAGGCCAAGGTGGGTGAATCATTTGAGGCCAGGAGTTCCAGACCAGCCTGGCCAACATGGCAAAACCTGTCTCTACTAAAAATACAAAAAATTAGCTGGGCATAGTGATGCATGCCTGTGGTCCCAGCTACTCAGGAGGTTGAGGTACGATAATCGCTTGAACCCAGGAGGCAGAGGTTGCAGTGAGCTGAGATCACACCACTGCACTCCAGCCTAGGTGACAGAGTAAGACTCTGCCTTAAAAAGAAAAAAGTTTTACACCTTTCATTATCAAAGCTTCTGCTTTCTGTTCTCCACACACATTTAAAACAGGAAACTTACCTCCAAAACTCTATGGGAACCATGATATAATTGCAATAGGAAATAAAATGATGAAATAACAACTAGATTAATAAATAAATAATTTGCAGTATTTGAATGTGGTTCATAAATCCTTTTGAAACAACAGATTTCAATATTCTCAATATAACAAGGTATGTTTCTCCTCTCTTGAAATGATTTTATTTTCTGAGATACATTATTGACATTTCTTACTACAGAAAATTCATTCTGTAGTAAAATAAGTAAAAACCAGGGGCATGTACCTTGGAATTTTTCTGGAGGAGCAAGGCAGCTTCTGTCTGGCTAAGGCTGTAAGCTTCGGGCGTGTCATGGGCAGTGGGGGCAGGGTGGTCATTTCGGACTACAAAAAGAAATAAGTAGAAATTGTATTTTAAAGAATAAATCTTTCGAAGGATCCTTTAAGACATTATTAGAGATTCACAGTCTGTCATCTTAGTTGAGAATGTCTACATGTAGTGCTATAGCTGTGTTATTCAGGAATGATGCTCAGTGAGTGGATTCTGTAGGTTGCTTCTCTCATTATTTTCCTCCATTGTCTGCTTTTTGGCCAATTTATTATTTGTCTGTATCTTCACCACAAAGTAGATAAGAAGAAAATATGATAAAAGCATTGATGGTTCAGTTGGCATATTTGGTAAGAGTTTTGTAAGGGACATGATTGCAATTAAAGAATAAATGTTTTTAGGATAGCTATGGATTTCCAATGTTTATGTGTTGCTTTCCTGTTATTATCAATAATTGAAAATTGCTCATACTTGCTGTTTTCTAAAAGCCTTATAGCTCGCAAATAAAGGCTTTCCCTTAGATGTGATAGATGATAAGAACAATTCTCAACAAGGAGACAGCTGCCCTGAGAAAGCACACAGCCATAACAATATAATGAATCACTTCAAAATGTACTGTTTTTAAAAAGTTGTTTAAAACGACTTTATCTCACACTTTACATGGGTCAGGAAAAAGGACAGGGTATGATAGGCATGGATTTTTTCTCCTCCATGATGACAGGAGCCTCTGCAGAGAAAACTCAGAAGCTGTAGTAACCCAATGATAGGGGACAGGAATCACCTTGAAGTGTCTTCACTCACTTTTCTAGTGGTTGATGCTAACTCTTAGCTGGGACTCAACTGGGGCTATCTGCTAGAACTCATACATGTGGTCTCCTCATGTGGCATAGGCTTCTTCACATCATGGCAACCTAAGACTTCTTATGTAGCAGCTCCAGGCTCCAAAGGCAAGTATTTTAGAGAATAGGCAGGCAGAAGCTTTATCCCCTTTTAGGGTCTACCCTTGGAAGTCACATAGCATCCACTTCTGCTGTAATAACAAGTTCACCCAGATTCAAGGCAAATGAACACAGAACCACCTATTGATAGGGGAGTGTCAAAGTTTCATTGTAAGAAAAGAATATGGCATGGGAGATACTGTTGCAGCCCTTTTTGGAAAATGCACTGTGCCACAGTGGTGAGCAATTAGGAAGGCAAGTCTATAAAATCAAGTTATCTAAATCTTACTCCAAAGGGGCATAGGGACATGATGTCTGTGAACTTAGAATAGAAAAACTGTTACATGGTGCAAGGGCTCTCAGATGCAAAAGAACCCATGCTTCTGTTAAATAGAGAGGCATCCAAAAGGCCAGGGGCTCCTGATCTCACCCCCTCTATGTCCACCAGGTTTGACCTGTACTCTTAGCTTCACCAAGTAACTGAAAGGCTTGTTTTAGGTTTTAAACAGCTTATCTTCAGCATTACTACCTGTGTGACCCAGGGAAAATCACAATAAAATCTGGGCCTTGAATATATTCAGCAGATATTTAGTGAGCTCCTTTTTGGTGCCAGACACTGCTCCAGGTGCCAAAGATACATACAGCAGTGAAGAAAAAGACAAAAGTCTCTGATCTTGCAGACTTTGCAGTATGGGGGTAAATATGGAGAAAGACAATACACAAATAAGAAAAATACATAGAACCTCAGATGCTGATAAGATTCTCTACTGGAAAACAAAGCAGGGAACTAGAAACTACCCAAATGCTCACCAATGGCAAAGGGATGAATAAAAACAGAAGGAGACAAGCTCAAAGACATTACAGAGAATTTGGTTGGGTGTCCTAACAGTGCAATGTCTTGAGGGTTACTGTAAAAACCGGCTTTTATTCTCATTGAGGTAAGAATCCACTGGAGGATACAAGGCATAGAATTGACACGATCTGACTTTCATCCTGAAAGGATCACTCTGACTTTTTCTTTCAGGTTAGACTGTAGTAGGGGAAAGGGTAGACAGCAGAGAGGCCAGCTCAAAATCTCCTGTGAAATACAGGGGAGAGAGGGTGGTGGCTTAGGTAGGAGTAGAGAAGGAGAGATGTAGTCAAACCTGAAATAGAACCACCTGTGGATGGCTGAGACCCAATATTCCTCTAGTGCTACAAAGCCATGGTGGAGGTGGGGGTGGAGAAGCACTAAGACGAGAGAAAATCTTCTGAAATTCAGTGTAAACAGACAGCTTCGTGTTACTGAAAAAGATTATTACCCTGGCCTAAAAATCATTTTTTACATAATTAAAGAGACTTCTAATGGAGATCAGTGGTTTGTTTTAAATATAATAGAATCCCAGTACTACCAGCTTATCAAGGTGTGATACGATCTATGAAACAAAATGCCCACTTATTTTTATGCAGTTGTAGATTTAAAGTGCACAATCTAAACAGCAAATGTTAGTCCTCTCCTACAGACTAAACATTAGAAACATACTATATTACCCTTCATAACTTCATAACATAATGACAATTTTTTTTTAATTTTAAAAATCTATTTTTCTGATTAGATGTTACATTAAATAGTTGAGTTACTGGAATAACAAGAACTTACTAAATGGCGACATCATACAGAGCATATGGTAAGAAGTTATGACTCATGTGAGGTTTGAAGGGACACCAAAGCTCCCCAAACGGGCCTCCCAAGAGCTTACTTCAGAGGAGCTATGAAGACTGTTCCACAGAGTTCAGAGTCTTCCAATGTTACAGTGAACATCTGAATGATCTAAGTTCTTAACCCAGACCAGTGTAGCCCTAGTCAATTTCAAAAGGGAGAGAGGAAAACAACTAAGTTTGCCTTATTTGGGGGCATTCCATCATCTATAAATTTTAGACTCTTTTCTAAAAGCCCCACTTGACTTGCCAAAGCATTATGCAGTGGGCACTGGGGCCAGGGTAATCTCTTCATAATTGCAGGCATCTTTGAAGAGTTCGCTAAGGAGGTTCAAAATGAGGAACAGTGCTTGCAATTTCCTTGAATACTAAGAATATCCAGCTATTTGTAGACAGATAAAAGAGAGCAGCCCCCAGAGGTGCTGATCCAGTCAACATAGCTCATCCAGGTGAGTATAACTCCTCACCAAAGTTGGCATACCAGCATGTTATATAAAATTTATCCTTTTTGATGTTTACTTGAGATCGAATAGAAACCAAATGCAAATGACATACATGGAGAGGGGTATGTCTTCTTTGTCATACAGATCAACTGCGCTTTTTTTTTTTTTTTCAAACTCTGAGTCAACGTTTCCTACCATTAAAGTTTCAGCTGCCAGTTCCTTCATTTTGCTCTCCTCTGATCTGAGAACATTAGCAGCAGGAGCACCTTTACTCTTAAATTTAGTTTAATGTAAGTACTGCAAGCCCTGCTGGCAAGCCTCAAGGCACAAACTCTGAATGGGGGGTGGTCAGAGCTGAATGATAAAGTGGAAAAAAGTTATCAGAGCTGAATGATAAAGTGGAAAAAAAAAAAAGCATGTTGGAAAAAATATCGCTCAATCAAACTATGTTGGAAAGTTTAAGCTTAGAGTGAGGGTGGAAGTTGAACAAGCTTTCTCCTTGTTTCTGAACCCCACATCCTGCCTTGCCAATGCCTATCGGGAAAGAGAATTTTGTTTCTCAGAATCAATACATGGCCACATAAGGTATTTTGTTTTACAAAACAGATAATGTGTGATCTGAATTTTATGACACAGTTAATATTTCGAATGCACCAAATATTTAAAGGGGTCCTGTAACAAATTACTTTCTTATCTAAGTAATTGCCATCTTTTATGCCTTATAAGTTCAAGCAGGGTTTGCGGTACTTACATTAAATTAAATACCTGTAAAGAAAGCCTTTTGGTCTTTGTTAATATGAGTTGCATCATTTTCCTGGTGTTGGTCAGACAGCATTCTCAGTTTCCATGTGAGCTCCAGCCTACACTCAACAATGAAGAATGGGACTAGTGCTATGAGGTGACTGACCCAGGCCTGTAGCATAAATGGAGCACATTGCCATCAGTTATGGCACCTCCTTAGGGTTCTCCTAGATCAACATCTCAGGGGAAAACACACAAGATAGGTGTGACTGCCGGAAAGGAAATTGCTCAGGTTCAGGTGAGTAAGAAAGAAGAAGAATGAAAGATACCTCTTTGGCTGGCACCAGAATGAGCTTAGCCCCAGGAGCTCAGGCTGAATCAGCTTCTTAGGAGGACCCAGAGGCACCTCCCAAGTGCCAGCAAGTGGGCAGTGCTGCAGTGTGGCACCATCGGGTGCTGAGACAAAGATCAAAAGGCCGCCTGAAGCCATTCCACTGTTGGTATTCAGAAGAGATTTGGTGCACCCTTTGATCTGCTGGTTGGCTCTTGTATCACAGTTACAATCTCTAAGTTTGGCCCCCACATGCAAAGACAAATGAGAATGGAGAAATACAGGATGAAAGGTTTGAGAGTGCTAGGTCAGGCTGAATGTGTCCCATGGTGTGAGTTTAAATTTTTGGCCCCCAAGTAAAATTCTTCAAAGAGTAACCCTCCTTCCCTCTATCCCCAGAGATGCCTTTATCAGGAAACACAAAGGAGGGAGGCCTACTACTGTGTACACGGAGGCTACTTGGAGAATGACTATGTCTGAGGCTGACCAGTGTCTCCAGGGTTCAGTCACTTTGGAGTAAAAACTGAGATGAGAGAAATAAAGCCAGTAAAGCACAGTAAGCGAGTTTATTGTACATCATCACAAGTTCAAAACAAATATGATTTTACTAAAAATCATTCATAAGAATTAAAACTTTTCCTATTATCACAAGCTCTTTTACTACGAAAGTTTAACAAAAACTACAGAAGAAACATCACTATGCTCCCTAAGTAAAAAATAAATAAATTTATGAAGAGTCACTAATAATGTTTATTCCTGGTATCATAATTTTTTGACACTTCTGGCACTCTCTCGTGGGTAATTAGATAGGTTGTTATGTAAAATAAATAGAAAACACATTTCCTACCAACTGACATTGATGGCTAAATCACAAAATCAAGCAGGAAAAGAGTCTGAAGGCAATCCATATTTCACTTGACTTACATTTGCAGATTACTGCTGATGGTCTCTCCAGGCTTATAGACTTCAGCCTGAAAATCAGGAAGCAAAGAATAACAGCAAAGAAGAAAAGAAGTTTAAAATCAGTCAGTAGTGTAACTCCTCTCCCCGCCCCAAGTCATGGAATAAGATTCACTCTTATAACAAATACTAAGTTCCTACCATCTAAGTTTAGATGAACTTTTAAAGAAAACCCCCAAGTATAGATCCTATAGGAGAAACTAATCACTAAATCAGTGAAATGCCAAAACATCTGAAATATGTATAGGTATTGATGTATTTCAATACAAATGTGACATTAGGGATTACCATTTGCTCTCTCAAATTTACAAGACAGAGTTATCTTTGCCAAAAACTGAGAGCATCTCAGTTCCTTTTCTGTTCCCACCTAGTTCTCAACAGGACTAAAGGACTTATCCTATGCATAGTTGTTCACTTCCCTCAGAGGGTCAGGTGAACTGGGGAATAAGAGGAACTGGCGCCTTTCCCTACTTCTCTTTCAATTAGTTTCTTGAGGTACGTGGCGAGGGCCTGGACTCAGGAAGCTTGAGAAAGACTGATGGAGGAAGGGCTGTAGGGGGTCAGGGAAGGGGCTGCCTGAAGAACAGGCCGCCTCTCCAAGGAACTGAGGAGGTCCTGTCCCAGCTTCGCCCCTGCCTTCACGAACCTCGGTGCACTCGCCCAGGGAAACAACTCCAGTTTTCCCTTCCACTGAAGTGAGTCCCCCACCGGCGGCAGGTGCTGGGCGTCGGCGCCGCCCCCTCCTCTGTAAGTGATTCCGAGGCCTGGCTGCGCCGGCGCGGAGAGAGGGGACGCCGAAAGCATCTCCAGGGAAACAGAGAGGCGAGGCGGGACGACCGGGGGTGGGGTTAGGCTAAACCGGGCCTTGGGATTGGGGCAGCTCCCAGACTCTTCGGGCTTGGGGGCGGAGTCTGGCGAGGGGCGGAGCTTACTGATGGCCGGGCGGTGCCCCCAGACAGCGGAGGCTTTTCAATCAGGGTTGCTTTCAGAAGTTAGCTCGCTTTTAGGCATTTTCACATAACCCAAGGGGCTCGAATTTGCCACTTTCATTTCTTTCGTGGCCTTGCATTCTCAATGTTTTTCTTCATTGCCCTTTTGTCCACAGGATTGATAGGAAAACGCTGAGCCAGGCATCCATGACCCCGTGACCTGAAGCCAATTTATCCATCTAGCTAAGTCATTCATTCTCCTCTTCCTCAGCCTCTCTTGCAGTCAGAACCCACCACAAATGCCTCCTGTCCTGGCCCCACAGACAATTCAATTTTGAATTGTGGTTCGCTAAATACTCAAGGTCTCTTTAAGAGAATCTCCCTGCATCTGTCCTTATTCGTTTTGCATTTTTACCTGAAACTCAGGGTTTTATATTTACACTAAATAAATATCATCCTGTTAATCTTGGCCCATCATGCCATCTCTCCTCTCAGAATGAGTGCAAGGAAGTGAGCCTTCTTGCTCATTCCCTCATATATATGGGGCAAGAAAGTGAGGCTTGCCACTTGTTACTTCTAAAATACAGAAGTGCTGGAAAGTTAGGCTTTTGTTCCTTGTCTCCTGTCAGGCATTGTAGGAGAATGAGTCAGCAATATTGCTCACATGAATCATTCTACTAACCATAAATCGATTCTATTTGGAGTACAAGCATATCTACCATAACCACACTTTCATTCTAACATCTGATTTGCTGTCACAAGTTACTAAATTATTTCCAAGTAAGTTTACATTATACATTCAATGATGACTGTGACAATCTGTAACTGGGCTCCACCCATCCCCCACACCAGTAAGACTCTCATTCTATTCTCATGAGTTTATTTTCCAATTTCAGCATCACCTTAACACACTCCACTGTGACCTGTGTGAATTCTTTTCCAGTCCTTGCTGCTTTTTCTGACTTAGAGGTTTGTGAATTCAATTCACCTTCCTTTCTCACAGGAGGCTGTCTTAGTTGGCTTTCTAGGTAGTTCCTTCCTGCTTCTTTGGACTTATTTCTCCTACTTGCTGTTTTTTCACTGTAAGTTCTTTGACTAATTCTCTTTCTCCTTCTGTTTAGCATAGAATTCCTTCAGTTAGAGAACTTTGTTCGCAAGTGACAGGAAACTCAAATGGGCTTAAGCGTAAAAGGAAACTGATGGCAAACAAAGGATGCCAGATTCAGGTGCAACTTTATCTAGAGACTCAGGCCTTTCTGAAAGCTTTGAGGATTCCAGAATACCCCTATCTTTCACAGAATTAATTTCTCCTCCTCTCGCCTCCTTTCTCTTAGACCTACCTTTATTTTATCAGTATAACTTTGCATGGTGTTTGGCTTATGGGAACCAAACTTGCCTGAAAGATTTTGAGTACCTTGAAAGCACAGACTTTGTCTTATTGTTTTCTGAATTCCCTGGAATAGTACAAGGATTAGTATACAGTATGTGCTCAAAACTATTTTTTGAATTAACTGAATGAATGACAGAATAGAGTGGTTTTTCAAACAGATTCTTCCTTATGTAATTCTTCTCATTGCTTCCTCAATCTTCCCCACCTAGAATTCTAGGGAGAAGGTCAGGTGATGCAATTGATAATTTGAATACTATTACTGACATAACAACCTCTAAAGTTTCCTCTTCCAATCTTTCTCTGGAGAAATGATTTTAGATTAGGTCAGCTCCCTAAAGAAGCAAGTGCAAGCCAAACCATCTTAACTACTCCCCATAATTGTTCTCAAAGTGGTTTTGGTATCTCGATCATCAATTTCTACAGTAAAATTATTCTGAATTCTTCTTGTTTTACTAAACACATCCCCAAGTAACATCTTAGGAAAGAACATATGAGATAAAATTTTGAAGTTCTTTCATGTCTGACAATATCCTTATTTTGCCTACGATCTTTTGGTAGGGTTGCACGTTCTAAATTAACAATCATTTCCCTCTGAATTTAGAAGGTATTATTTCACTGTTTTCTAGTATCCAGTGTTTGAGATGAGAAGTCTAGGGGCAATTTTATTTTCCTTCCCTTGTATGTGATGTAATAGTAAGATCCATATGCGGTGACAACTACAAATCTGTGTGGCCTAAAACAACAATGTTTATTTATTGATTACAGTATGTCACCATCACAAGTCAGCCTTGGGCTCTGCTCCATGCTATGTCACAGGAGAATCAATATGAGAGAACCTTTGCCAGCCTGGAGGATGGCTGGTCTGTAGCAGAGAGATCATGAGAGTAGACTGCATGTTAGCTTTAAAGGCTTCCTCCAAAAGGATACCCATCAGTTTCGCATTTCGTTGGCCACAACTGAAATAGCCATGCTCAACTTTAAGAAAGCAGGTATCTGCGATTTCACCTGTGTCTGAAAGACTAGATACCAATTAATGGTCATAATGATGGTCGTAGACCTGGTTTTTCCCCTCAACACAGGCATTTTTAGGTTACTTTCTTTATCTTTTTTATTCTCAAATTTTATGGTAGAACTCTTCAGCTGAGTACTCACATCCTTCTTTAGATTTAGATAATTGTCTTCAATTTTTAAAATTATAATTCCCTTGTCTCAAATTTGTTCTATTATTTCTTTAAGATTCTGTTTAGTGAATGCAGATCCCTAGATTTGTCGTTTTTATCCTTGATCTTTTTAAAAAGATTTTTATTCTTTTTGCCTTTATATTCTAAAGTCTGTAAGTTTTTGACAATATTGCTTTAGTCTTCAATTGAATTTTTTGTACATAGGAGGAGTCACATTCTTAGTGTTTGAGCGTTCTTGCTTTCTCATTGCTCCTTCTTTAGAGGCTCTTCTTTTATGAATGAAATAGTTTGCAATTATCTTCCAATATATTAATTTGTTTTTTAAAGTTGTCTTTTTATTTTTAATGTCTGTGGGCACATAGTGGGTGTATATATTTATGGAATACATGAATTATTTTGATATAGACATAAAATGTGTAATAATCACATCAGAGTAAATGGAGTACCCATCACCTCAAGCATTTATGCTTTGTGTTACAGACAATCCAACTGATACTCTTATTTTTAAATGTAGAATTAAATTATGATTGATTGCAGTCACTCTGTTGTGCTATCAAATACTAGATCTCATTTATTCTTTCTAACTATATTTTTGTACCTCTTAACCATCCCCGCTTCCACCCCTACCCCCTCACTACCTTTCCCAGCCTCTGGTAACCATTCTTCTACTCTCTATCTCCATGAGTTCAATTGTTTGAATTTTGAGTGCCCACAAATAAGTGAGAACATGTGAAGTTTATCTTTCGGTGCCTGGCTTATTTCACTTAACCTAATGACCTCCAGTTCCATCCATGTTGTTGCAAATGACAGGATCTCATTTTTTTTATGGTGGAACAGTACCTCAAAGTTGTCTTTTTTTGTTAAATTATCTTTTCTTCCAGGAAAAGTGTTTCTTTTGTTAATGTTGAAATTTCTGTGTTATATACCGTATTGTATTTGGTTACTCTATTAATTAGCATTAGGTTCAGCTGTGAGTAACAAACAAACAAGCAAACTACAGAATAGGAATGACACTCCATGGTGTCAGATTCCTAGTTCCTTCTGTTTTTAGCTTCGCTACACATGGATTCCATTCCCAAGATTGCCTCACTGGTGATCCAGCTATTATATCTTATCCAAAGAAAGCCTGCACAGGGATGAGGGGGTCAAATGGGGAACCTAGTGGTTAAATTTTTAACAAAGGAAATTGTGCTATCTAGGCATATTCAGAGAAGACTTAGTAGCCTAAAGTGCAAAGCACCTATTAAGCATTTTCCATTGAGGCATCTTTGCTCAGAAAATTCCCCGTTCTTGACTGATATAACTGTTCTTTCCTTGCGTGAAGATACTGCTACTTCTTTGCCTAAGGTGGTTCTCTTGAAGAAAAAATACAATACATTTTTATTTACCCAACCTATCCAGATCTGTAATTAGAAGTGAATTCCATCATGTCCTAGGGGACACTATTTTAAATATCCAAATCTCAGGAGGCTCTTGTAAACGCACACGTGCGCGCAAACACACACACACACACACACACAGAGACAGAGAAAGAGAGAGACAGAGAGAGAGATGAATTTGCTGGTTTATATCAGTAAAACTCTAAGAACATTGTTTTCTTTCAGAATAGATTTTTGAGGATTCTTCAACAAAAAGGTTAGAATACAATATTAGAAAAAATAAATTTGTCAAATGAGTGCATTTTCCAGAGATTCTAAATTCCATGTGTTATTTTGGGTGACTAAGTGTATTTGACACTTTTCTGCTTTGGGTAATGCAAACCTTCCCAACTCTAAAGTAAGCTGTGTTGCAAAAAAAGATAAAAGTTTAATTTTAAGTCTTTCAGAAACAGGAATGCTAGCATACATCATTATGTCTTACCTCCTAACTATGTTCCCTTAAGACCATGTTGAAATTTTCCATTCCTCAAGGATTTGAGATCTACAAAGCCAGAGACTTTGTAAGTTCATTATCATCATGTTTCCCTTGTTTAATAGCGCTAGTGGGAGATGTTAAACTGAAACGGGCACCATGACTTCAAGAGAGAGACAATGTTTCCGGGAAAGAAAGGCTAGATTATCAAATCTCATGGGATATTTGGTGTATTTACCATAAACATACAGCCATGCCATAGTGTTAATTAGTATGACCTGATCTACAGAGATCTACAATTATGATTAATTGGTTATGACATTGTTAGAAATCAAATAATGGGTAATCTACTTAGAATTTGATTTGTATGAGAAAAGCGGAAAATAAAGTCTCCTAAATCTGGTAAACAGAGGCCTGACCTGAGTTACCACAGTGGAGTGTAGAGAGTACTGGTCCCTCACCATGTTCTAAGA